ACGAGCTTTCCAATACGCGGTTCGAGCGTAGAGCTGCCGTATTCGCTTAATACGACTGAGCACTTTTCAAAGCACCTCGCCTCACATTGCTGCACGCACAACCGCGCCTATAGTTGAAGGCACGGGCAATGCCTGGTATCGAGGAGCTCTTTCCCTGCGCGCTCGCGACAGTGGCAATTTGACAAAGAGAGCCATTTCCACATGAGCCCGCGGCCCGAGGCCTGCGCACGGCTTGCCACATACGTGCTGGCGGCGCACGATGGCCCACAAAAACTTAAAATGGGGCAAGAACACTGGTGATTGGCTAGGATATAGTGTGTAATTTTAGCGGGTATTTTTCAAGAAAATACTATAGTAGCTTTTTTATCTGGTACTAGTATGGTGCTGTATTTTTCTACACTGAAATACTGTACGGCGCATCAGGCCTCATTATGCTGCTCATTACGGGGCATATCGCAGGCGCGATGCCTGCCTCGGTCACATGCAACACGCTCTCCAGCATCAACAAAACAAGATGGCGTCCTCAGCTTCCGCGATTTCAACCTATTTTCAATCGAAATATCGTGCCGCATTTTGGGAAAACCGACGCTCGGCAGTTTGAGTTTGGTGTGAGCGCCCAAGCAACAACGCGGCCCAGTAAACTGGTCGCACATCGGGTCAAGATCATAGCCAACTGTGGCAGTCGGAATCGGGGCTCTTGGAGCTTTCAAACCCCGCGATGTCATGTTGAGTAATTGAGCAATTGTGCCACCACCTCAAAAAATGAAAAATGGATTTACACGTGATGACGCCACGTTCAGCGTCGGAAACGACATGTACACCGTTCAGTGAGTGTGTAGAGAGGCCTACATATCTGCTACGCGGGGTTGGCGAGTCTGTGGGTTGCGATTCGTCATTGTGGGAACGCACACTATATAAGACGTAGTCTTGTGATTGGCTATAAAGAATTTAAAATTGAGCCAATAGAAACCATGTCAGTCGAGCTTCAAATCGACTTGGACACAGCCCGCAATGCTACCGGGTAGCACGACATTCGGAAGATTGCTTCAGTGACAATGAGCAATGGTCACAACTGTGAAGTATGGACCCGCTCATTGCCGAGCTCACGGACAAGGCTTGCGTCGACGACGGGCGGCGTCCAGGAGGCCAGCCTTGGCGCGTTGGTTACGCTTCTCACCCGCGTCGGCGCCAAGGTCTC